TTCTGTAGTTGAAGTAATGACGTTTGAAGTGATTGTAAGAGACCTGTGATTGCATTCTGAGATGTATGAAACTTAAATGAAGTTTTTGTATTTCAAATAGGTGGTAGTTCCTCCTCTTCCTGGAAAGGCTCTGATCAGGCAGCTCCCATTCCGTGGGGATGATGGTATATTTGACGACTCTTTTATCGAAGAACGGCGGCAAGGCCTAGAACAGTTCCTCAACAAGTAAGTTACAAGTTCTGTTCACCAGAAACACATGAGGACAAATTCACAAATGAGGACAACATTTCTAATTTAACAATTAACCGGTATCTTCTCCAAATTAAGTATATTTTGTGCAGATTCTTTTATCTAAACTCACTTTGCACAGCATTCCAGTTGTACATTTGATCAGTTCATGCATCGCTTGGCAGTCGAACTCATGACTTTAAAAAGAAAAAAAAATTTATGGTGTGCCACAATTATTGGCACCCCTGCAAATTCTTAGGAGTGAAAATGTAACTAAGTATATTCCCATCCATGCTGGACATTTTTAATGTTATCTGAGTGATTAGGAATACTAAAATGTAAGCCATGAAAGAAAACTGGCCATGCAAAAAGAAAAAGAATTTTAAAAAAATTCAAAAGGTGCCGTGGCATGCACATTTGAGAAACAAAATTGTTTAGTGATGTTAAATATAAAAAAAAAAAAACAGTTATTTATATTTATTTGTAAATATTTTAATTTAGATTTAAGAGGCTACACAGCAAAGGTGGTGAACTAATGGAGGAAACTGTATGTACCCATGATGCATTGTGGAAATGTTAGTTATTGAAAAAATGAATTTTTTCCTTGCGATTTTATTCTCAAGTGTTGATATGAGAAGATTTGCATGGTCCTCTACTGTGTGTCCTTCCTCTTAACTTCTTTTAGCCTCGGCACATCTGAACTGTTTTTATAAAGAGCACTGAAGCAGTTATAATGAAATGCAATAGTTTTTCCTCTTTCTGTTAATTTTGAGTTTTTAGGAAAAGGTACTTCAGTAAAAGAGAAAAACAGACACTTGCCAGCCTTTGTGTCATCTGATGTCTTCCCTCACACTTTTTTCCTTCTCTCATAATTACCTACAGAATGATCAAAACTGATGAGAGGCCGCAAGTGCACCAGCTTTACTTTTTACATTTGTTTTATTTTTGATGTGTAATTTATGATAATTGCGAGTGAAATTACAGGCGTGCATACCTTTTCCCTACAAGATGTTGTGTGCACTCCTGCTTATTTTTGATCCGAGGTGCCGTTCCCCCGCCGACTGAGACAATAAAAGTTACAGTTCGATTGTAATTATTTGCTGTGATTGCAGACTTTGCCATTATCTTTGTTTCATGTGCAAATGCGCCGGCTCTACCTGTTTGAATTTTAATACGAGACGAACAGCTGTAAATTAGGTTTGAAGAAAGAAAGGATATGGAGGTAATTAAGATGGGATTTTTTTCTTTTACCAAAAATTCCTGAATTAAATGTCATTGTTCGCTACTAATAGCACCTGGAGAAGGGAGACGCATTCCCATCATACATCTAGACTATGTGTGAGTAGCTTTGTACGTTTGCCTGTCCCAAATCTGAAAATGATCCTCCGTCATCTTGACTTGTAACATCGTGAGCATCGTGTAATTTTAGAGGTGTGAGGGTCCTTTTTTATTCCAGTGGAAGCTGGAATAGATTGAATGGTAAAATAATGAGTTTAATTAGCATGATGGCTCATTCTACTGTTTTTAAAGATATGCGTAATTAAATTTCGATATTATGAAATTCAAGCTGGATGATTTATGATCTGAAGAAGAATGCTGCAAAATGTCACAGCCTCCTAATGATATCTAAGAGTTGTATCTTGATTGGGGTCAAAGTTGATTCCACCTCCACTCTCTCTCTCTCTCTCTCTCTCTCTCTCGTGCACACGCTTTACAGTGTGTATCTTTGCATAATATTTTTATGGTGGCTAATATCCATTTTTTGGTCTGATTTTTCCAGAGTGGCTGGTCATCCATTGGCCCAAAATGAGCGCTGCCTGCACATGTTCCTACAGGAGGAGTCGGTGGATAAAAGCTACACCCCTTCCAAAGTTAAACAAGCCTGAACCGGTCTGGACTCTACACGCACAAACACAAAAACATGGCCCACGAGAAATAAGAAATGTTTGAATCATTCTTAACTGGAACCGAATCTTAGCATGAACCATAGGGTGTCCAAAACATTTACGAAATGATTGAAAACGTTCCCTACAATTAGTCATTGTGTCACTTCACTTCTCCAAAAGTACTTTTTTGATCTTTCCTTCTAGATGGTTTCGGTCTTTTTGCTTTGATTTATAAATCCATAATGTTAATATTACCACTTTAAGTCAGATCAAATGCGTTCTTGTGTAATTCATTGTGGTTAACAATTATTTATGGTAGTTTTGTCTGAGCACCACTAACTTCGATTAGTATAAGATCAAATGAAACGAACCAAATAACTATATCACAATTATGCAAGCACACTATATCACACACATTGGCTTCCCTGTGTTATTGTTACTGCCTACTTGTGTTGCTTTTAATGCTGAAGAACACGTACAGCAGCTCACTGTGCAGGATGCACTTAATTGGGAACCTCCTTTCTTACGTGGTGGTTGATCGTGTGCTGTGTGTCCCACTTAGCTGCAGACAAGCCTGTTTTTACTGTGTAATGGCGGTACACCAAAACCAAGAGAAAGTGCTGCCTACAATGCATGTTTCCAGATTTGTATACTGCTGTGCCATTGTTTTGTTTATGAGAATTTTCCAATAAAACGTATCAAATACACACACGTATGATGTGGTTTGCAAAACTAAAGCATCTCTGTTTGGTTCCACTAAAATATCTTTTAAGAGATGATCCTAGCTTTAGAGTGGTTGTAGCATTTAGTCTGCATTAAAAGGTTTTTCTCTTTGACCGTCAGGAGTTTGTCGCCTAGGGGTGTTCTGTTAGACACCATGAACTCCGATCCATTTAAATAATATAAAATCATACTTGCAACAGCTTTAGGATAGGAAAATCCATTTGTTTTGGTAACATGTTTATTTTTCTGTTAAATAGCATGCAACTGAAAAAGACAGAAACCCACAGAAAAGAAAACCTGTTTTATTTCAGAGGAAATAACTTATGTTAACTGGAGGACAAGTATTAGTATTCTATGTGCAGGAATTATTCAAATGAACATGTTTTCTCATTTTAGCCTTACACGATGAAGTTATTTAGACTAGGTATTCATCCACAGCACATGGACATTTGTCAAGTATTATACACTAAACAATATTTAAAAACTGCATAAATTCATTTAGTTATTGTTCATTTGTTATTGGATGCTTTATTCAAGTGATTTAAAACGTCATGATACCAAGATAACTGTAAATGAGGGTGATTCCATTTACTGATAAACAGATGTCTAAATAGAATGCATTTAGTCAAAGGATTTTTATAGATTTTCTAAGACTGAGGCAGGTGGCTTTGAAAAGGAGAATGATATTAGGAATGGTTACTCAGAATAGAAAAAGGAGTGAGGAAGGAATGAGAGGTCATAGGGCCCTGAATGCTCAGATACAGACCAGGAATCTTAAAGAACACAGGCAATACTAGGTTGTGAAGGTCAGTTCCTCCTCAAATGTCATTTAAAAACAGTAGAGTAGAAGAAACTTTTTTCATTGTAAGGCTTGGCTTGGTTCTGCTGCTAATTGGCTAGTTATTTGTGTGTGTGTGTGTGTATATGTATATAATATATAAAATATTTTAGGGTCAAAGTTGATTCGTAGATTTAAATAATTCTTCAAATAAGGGTCATTTGTTTTGTGTGGGTATTAATAGTGTAGTTTACTGAAACCAGGAAAAAAAATGACCTGAAGTAAAGGGATAAACACTGCACTTAACTTTATCTATAATACTTTAATACTTTTTGGAAGTGTGTGTAGGATATATAACCGAGTGTACGCTATTGCGAAACGGGTGTGTTTTTGTATTGTTTCTAATTGCTGTACAAGACACTATAAGGTAAAGAGAAGGGCACAGCCGCTTGGCTCATGTAACCTTGGAGTTCACTCCACATCAGAGCAGCCCATTAAAAAGGAACTGGGATAAATTGGACTGAAAGTTGTCATTGCAATCATGTTTCTTTCTATTGTATCCTCTCTATCAAAAAATGAAAATAAAAAAAATGCAATTTGGGCAAAGCCCTTGATTTGTGAAAGAGTGCTTGAAACCCGAGCCGTGCAAGGCACACTCAAGGTCTAGGGTGTTGTATTGGCAATGGTTCAATATGCACTTACGTGCAGACGTGAACCTCTCTGTCCCCGTTTAGGGTGCAATGGACCTTTCGCTGCTTGTAGAAGGAAGCCTTAGAAACCCAAAAAGCAAAAGGAGACAAGAATTTGACAGTCGTTGAAGGACCAGGCGATCAATATTCAATATTTATTCTAATATCTTAGAACGACTTTCACAAAAATTATCACTGTACAACGAGAAATGTATTTACAGACTACAAAAACAAATCCAAGTGCTGATCATGTCTCTTTTCCAGGGTTAGTAGCTAGTCAAACAAAGGCGCTTTAGATGGTGACCTCTGACATGGGCCATGTATTGAACAGAAACAGCTTTTTAAACATCAGTAAAATTACGTTTTATAGAGTGGGCGCACAGAAAACTCACAATGCTGACAGACCTCTGTATCCAGAGGATTTCAAATGCCCTGCCCATGAACCCTAATCTTCTGTTAAGGTCACAGAGTGTGGGTGCTGCGGCCTCTCAGTCACCTCAATAGGTTATTATGTGATGCATCAAGTCCGTAATGATCAGTCCTGCTGCCTTCCTGCAGAGTTTAATTCCAACCTTTCAGTGTACATTTCAAATAAACCTGATGAGCTGGTTCAAGTGTTTTGATTAAAGTTGGAGCTTCTGCTAGAAGTTAAAACAGGAATGAACTTACTCTTCTGTTCTGACTCATGGGCCTTTGGTTTTCAGCACTGTCAAAGGGACAGCGACCTACTTCCCTGCAACATACCTCATGGTTTCTTTTTTTTAAATTATTTTTTGGTTTCCTTCAAAGTTCTTGTGGACAAACGAATGATAGTGATGCTGAAATCAAAACAGCATTGGTCATAAAGGTATTGGTCAAATGGACACAAAACGTCCCGTTTTGAAATGAATGATTGTACAAACTCACGGACACGCCATTCAAATATATGACTACCAACTAATAATATTGTATTTAAATCATGATAGAACAAGAACATATTAAGCTTATTAAGTTACTTCCATAAACGAACTTAAATAGATTAAAAGTAAATCAATTAGAAAAGTACTGGTTAAACGTTCATTTTTCTTTCTAAGCAGTAAGCTCAACTTGTAGAGATTCAGTCTTGTTTGTTTTATAGTTTCCCTGCATAGTAACATCTTGACATTGGTAGAGCTTTATTCTCCAAACAAGTGCGTGAAGTATCACATTAGGGTATCTGGTATCATCCACAGCGTCCCAGCGTCCATGCGAATGCCAAGGTCAAAGATACATTTTGTTGTTTCTTTTCCCTCTCTCGGTAGCTCATATATCACTGGATTTGTACATGTCGGAGAGCAGTCGTGTGATGGGCACGTTTCCGATGGTCTTTTTGAAGAACACCTCTTCAATGGTGGATTGACCAACTGAACGTAGAGCAGGCAAGAGCAACAGCAGTTTGCCAAAGCGACACGGCTGAGTGGGGTACCTGAAACGCAACCATTCGTTTTTTAAATACTCAAAATGAAGCAGAATTCAGAAGTGTTCTCAATTTGCCATTGTTCTTGCACAATAATTATTTCATGAGGCTTTTATAGATTCATTGTTTCAGGAAGTATTAGCTGTACCTGGTGTGGATGTAGCTGTTTAGAGTCAGCTGGGCTTCGTCCTGAAGGGCGGCAATGGCACTGGCGTTGCGAAAGCTCCTCAATTCAGAACCACTGTGTGTTGGAACTGCAAGAACGGAAAAACGACAGCAGGTTTGTTCAGCTACTGTTTGGCCAGTTGAGAAAGTTTCTATAATTATTATTATTAATAATAATATTTCGCTTTATTATTTTGTATTTTATTTTATTTTATTTTATCAAGCCTCACCCGCTTTAAAGGTGACGATGCACTTAAGGCAAGCGAACTCCGTAGCGTCCAGTCTTAACTGTCTGAAGCGCGTCACGACCTCCTGCAGCGCCTGGATCTCTGCGATGATTTTGTTTAGCCTCTGGGAATCTGTGTTCTCGGTGTTCATTCCTAATTCGCGAGAAAGCGCCAAACATTACACTTGTATGCATATAACATTGGAAGTAATCATATTTTTACAAAACGTAAACGTGACGTAAAATCTTGCGTAAATCTTAGGAGTAGGCTATGCTGTATGGCCTATACCTGAAACGGCTAGGAGAGTGCTGGAGTCCACTGGAATGGCCCATTGCGCTATGCCCAGCACGAACAGTTCCCTCCAGGCATCTTCTAAAAGGATCAACTGCAAAAAAAAAAAAGTAGTAGGCTAGTTCATTAATGACTATAAATAAAACACCTAGCATTTGGGTTTGGCTTTACACTTGAGGGCATATATAGCATATTTAATCTGTGTAAAATTAAACCTTGGCGAATAATAAGTGAAAATATTAAAACACTTGTTTACCTGGTCCGGTAGAGGCAGTGTGGAGAAGGCCGGAACGCTCTTGGCCCATTTAATGCTCATGAAGAGCAGGCGCGCGGCTGATTCGCACACAGACTCGGTCGCCACTTCATACAGGTACATGGGAGTGCCGCTAACTTCATGAGGATACTGAAAAGAGATTACATCATCACAGAAAATAAGCGGGGTTGTATGCATGCAGTTATGAGTTGAAGTGTAAGTTTTTCAGAAAATTCATATTAATTGATAATGCGTTTCGTTAAACTACATTGTTGTGAAGGAACGCGTTTACCTTCGGTGTGGGTTGGGCGAGTCCCACAGTTGCCTGCCGTTCCGGTGTGCTTGTGACCGTGTTTAACTCCAGATTGTGAGGCTCCAGCTGCGTGACTGTAGTGAAAAACGGCGGCCCCGGGATAGACGTGGATGGGAAATGGGTCGACGAACCGTTCACCTCTTTATGCCCTCGGAAATACAGTGCCACCTGCTTTCGAATGGTTGAAGTCCTCGGTCCTCTCTCGTGCTGCACGGCTGTAGTGATGTAACGATCAGTGACATGAGAAATAAGCGTTCTCATATGATAGGCTAAGCAGAAATCGTTGAAAAATTCATTTAGAAACATGTGCCATGTGCCAAGTAATATATTTCTTCTTGTTTGATTTATACATTTTTGAAAAGGTGTGTGTGTGTATATATATATATATATATATATATGAAATTTTCTGCATCTACCTATCAAAGTGGATTACAGGCATCAAGGCTAGAGACAAAATCATTTTCTGTTATATCTAAAATTGATTGAAGTATATAAAAAAGACAACTGTATTTACTAGCACTTACCATCTTTATTCATATTCACGTCTAGACACTTTTTCAAGCGACAGGCGCGACACTGATTTCTGTGTGTCTTGTCTACTGGACAGCCGCCCTGAGGAAAAGGATACAGTAGGATTCGTTTAGCAGTAATGGCAGACAAACAGCCTCTTCTGCTATATGCTCCACTGGTCTCCACTCCACAGGTATGTGGGAATGGCAGAGTAATGACGGCTATTGACTCGCTCCCCCGCCGCACGGCCAATAGTCTCATTCCCGCCTACCGCTCTCCAAATCCATCCAGTCCTTGCCGGTGCGTTAGATTGGATTACACCTGTTACACTAGACGGGGCAAAGGGCCCTCAAGGGCGCGGGAGGGGGCTCACTTCTGGGATAATCTTTCAATTATGAAAATCACTAGAGGTGTAGGCTAATCTAGTCCTTAGACGCGCTTGCTTAGATCAAATTAGCTGACGCTGTTATGGTTCAAACACATCGCTGTAATTGATTAGTATAGCTCACCTGTGTGCCAGATTTGCAGACATACGTTCTGTTTCTCCTTATGCTCCTCTTGAAAAATCCCGAGCAGCCATCACACGCATAAACACCGTAGTGCTTTCCAGAACTTCTGTCTCCACACACTTTACATGGAATGTCCAGAATCCGACCTAACAGAGATGGAAAATACAGCACTTATTTAAGGGAAATAAGCAACCCTATTGGAGACTTTGTCTATTTAAAAATATTGACAAACGTTTTGTAAAATTAGAATATTCATAAGGTTTTGTAGATTTTTTTAAATAATACTATAATAGAGTAGTAACTAGACAAAATGTTTTAGAAAGCCCAGTCCACACCCTCTTTGGGGCTTTTTGCAAAGGGCGGGAGCTGATTATCCTAATTAAGGCTTGAATACCCGAAAAGACGTCCGAACAAAAAGTTGGGGGTCTTAAAAGTACGTAGTCTATTCTTTTCACAAATTGGTATATAGGCTACGTTTAGTTAAGTTTATGATTACAATTTAGGCCGAGCTCATATTTCCACCTGGCGATAAATAGACACTAAATTGCGACGAGGATGTAACCATAGCAACAGAAGGCTTCTCTTGCGCATTCGTTCAGGTTCAATAAAGTGCGGTTCACCAACAAAACAAAAGTAGGCTACTTTCATTATTCGTCACTTTGTTAGATTTACTTAGACAAGTGTGTAACGCAAAAAGCATTACTTTTGTTTAAAACGATAGTTAGCGTTTGATTTTCTGTGATAAGTTCCCAAAATAAAAATTTTGCGCGAGACGCAAAATTTCATCAGACTGCGCCTGATAATTTTCTACAGAAATTTCCTGAAAATCATTGTATAATTTGCACATTTGCCCTAATAAATACTGTGTTAAAGGACACACTTTTAATGAGTCTGTCCATAGGAATGTGTAAACCGTAGGCCTACGTTGAGGGCGCATTGGTGGGAAGCGTCATATCGCAGGTCCCATAAAACAATGTTCAGTTGACGCGCACAATGGCGACATTAGGGAGAGTGTTAACTTAATGATTTCCCCATTGAGCCTCGTCTGACTGGCCTGGTCTCGACAAGCTGCCAACCCCGCTTCATAATGAAGCTCGGCAACTGCTTTCTTCGCACCGTCTATGGGCTCGCGGATTAGGGAGTGACACGGGAGAGGAGAATAATACGCACCAGCGCGTTTCAGCGACTCAAATGAAGTGTATGCAAATGAACTTGGAGTAAATGAAAATTGTGATTTTTCTTGTGTGTGCAGAACACTTTTTTTTCTGTATTTAAGTCTGTCAATAGAGGTATATTTGCATGTATATGGGGGAGTCGTTTAGAGAAACGGCTATGTAATTACACTGACATATGTCCACCTGCTCATTGATTTTCCAGTGACCCGTCAAAAAGGGTAGCATGGGAATTCGGATATAGACCGGTAACGACGGAGAAGGAAAACGACTTCATGCACTCTGACTTCTTAAAACAAGAAAAGGAAGAAAAAAATCTATGCTGCATTTTAATGTAAAAACACATTTCTGTCTGTGCATGCCAGATGTTCCTCGTATAGGTCCTTTCAGAAATGATAATGGTGTTTTGATACAGGCTTTTGGTGATCACTTGTAACGGAAAAGTGACTTAAGATCACTTGTATTATTTGTTATTATTTGTTATTATTACTTGTATCAAGTGTATTATTTTGAAATTTAAGAACAGTGCGAAACTCTCAAGTAAATGTCTTGACAACAAATGTAGATTAATTGAATATTTCATTTCAAATGCTTGTATTTTGCATGACTGAAAGAGAACACCTCTCATGTGATGGAGACAACTTGTTGCTTTTGTCTCAGAGTCGTTTTGAAAGTTTAAAATTGCTCCACAGTTAGGCTACACTTTTTTCCCCAGATGATAAAGCGCTTGAAGCTAGAACGCCTGCATTTTAAGTGCATTTACAATTTCTATTTTGATTTTTTTGATTTTTATTGTTTCTACGATTTTGTGTCTATTTAAGATAACTAAACCCATCAAAACAGACAGTTTTTTTTTTTCGAGGAAGTCATAAAGTCCTACTGTCTTCCATCCAGTTCAACTGGTACTGGTACGTTGGTAAGAAACTGAATTGAAGGCGGATTTGTTTTAGAGAAGGGAACACGTCTTTAACTTTCCCCGGTGGGGGTCCCAGTCTGTCGCATTGTGCGCTGTAATTGTTTAAAGACATATAGCATATTTCATTACTGTAATCAGCATCAACCCTGGGACCTGCTGCACTGGATTACGTGCAGTTGTGAGAAACTCTGAACGTAATAGGCCTTCGACCACCCAAACAGTGGCGTAATTTCACCCCTGTAAAACAAATAAAACATTTTTTTAAATTTAATACTCATGTGAATTTTAAATATCACCTGAGACCGCATCGCCCCCTCCTCATTTTACACCTGAAATCATTTTAAGAGTCAAATACGTGTAAAGTGTCGTCAGAAAGTGTTTTTGGGGTAGGCATTCAAAATAATCAACGAAAAGTTTAGGCCTCAACGAAATTATTTCACTTGTTCACCGGTGCTAAATAAATTACTCCTTACAAATTTCATATTCATACAAATTACTCATAAAATACTAGGATAGATTTTTAAAAAATTGTGTTAAATCTAAAATATGTTCAGTTTTGTTATTTAGAAATCATTACTCATTATAGTGTGCTTTAAAAATTGTGATTGGGTTACCTTATTTTCTTTGCCTTTCACTTGAATGAATTGTATTGCCTTTTTCACTTTCACTTGAAGCCACTTAAACTTTTAAATACCTTTAACACTATTTTTTTTTTCAATTTCATTTAAGCCTAATGTAAAAAGTCAAATAGAGGCGCACATTTTACCACCACACGCCTATTACAGGCAAATCACACTCAATATTTCATATTTCATATTTCAAGAAATGTTTCCAGTTAGACAATTATGAGAATTTTATCTGCAAAATAAATTTTAACTGTAAAATAATAAATTGACAGAAAACATTTATTATAGATGAATTTCAGGGCACTTGCATTCTTGTTACCTTGAAATTAATTGAAAGTCAAAAGAGATAGGCTGCTCGGAGCAGCCTAATAAGGAAAACTCAGCAGATCTGCTTTGATGACATATTATGCATAGTTTACGCATACCTTAGGGCCACATTATGATATTTTAAAACTGTACAGGCTGGTACAATATAATTAGTAGTTCATTTCTTTTGTTTAGAATTTCAGTGTGCACGCACAACTTACGCTCAACAAAGTGTAATGGGGAAACGAGGCTGTCAAAACATTCTCAGCATCACTAAACGCCAACTTATCTCAGATGTTTTTGTGCTTATCCATTTATTTATTTTCTTACAATTTCACATCTAAGATGTATACAAATGATTTATAGTGTTTTGCCTGCTTCGAGATAATCTTTTTTTTTTTTTTGGCAGTCGTACTATCAGTCTAAGAGGTAGGCAATAAGCAACAATTTGACAGCATGTAAATATTTCGATTTGCGTTTGACAGCTCTATGGAGTTTACGCGATTTTTGTCATCTTAACCCATAAGCAATTATTTTACTTTCACTTATTTCGTAAACAAAAAGAGACTGCGTTTTTACTTCGCCATCACGCTATTTCTAACAACATGCAAAACTCGAAAGTAAAGAAAGACGATCTACTCACTGGATTTGACATTTAAAATATCCAGACAACCACTTGTTGAACCAGCAGGCTTGCTCATGTTGAAGACCTCAGCTCCAAGAAAACTGCGTTGAAAAGTTACACTTTTCAGGCCCAGGGGAGTCTTAACACTTTTGACTTGGTTTTTAAAAAAAAATACAAGCATAAATTTAACATCCGATTTGCGGTGGACAACTGGTCCTCTGCTTTCTGTTGGAGTTTTCTTTGATTGTGTCCAAGTCGCTCCTCTTGATTTTCAGCAAATAGAATCCAGATTTCATCTGACTGTTGACTGATGCGATGGATGCAGCCCCACAGACAATATATGCCCAAACCGGTCCCTGGTCTCAGCGCCAAGGAAACTTGGTGCAACTAATGAAGAAACACTGGGGCTTAAGCCAGCACTGTACTGCTCAAAACCAGCTTTAAAAGTACAACATGAGCTGGGAACTGCGTCTCAGCCCGGAGCCTTGGTGAGTGACTTTGTGATGTGTACCGTCAGATTAAAGGCTTGGTAATATGTATGAGATGTATTAGAGTAGGGGGGCGGGAGAGAGAGAGAGGGAGGGTGGGAGGAGAGCCCAACTTCCTTTGACCGCTTAGCTTTCCCCTGCCTTCTGCTTCAACTCCTGCTCGCGCATGACGTCACGGGGACGAATGAAGTGATATTCCATACACAGTGAGTCAGCCACTGTCAGAGGCCAATGGTGCGCTCTATAGGAATCGATTAGGATCAGCGAGGCTGTTTAAATGACCGAATCAAACGTTTGCCACTGATTAGGAACACATTTCCATCCTCAGAGAGTTCAGTGACTTAACTGCTCCCAGACTGAAGTAAACGGTTTAAAGCATTCTATTGAAATAACCCTTAGAAACATAATCACTTTTTCTTTTTGCAACTAACTTACTTTTTGTGGCGCTTTCCCGGATCCTTCCCTCGCGCGCGTGCACCTGTTGCGTTGGTAGAATGACTGCAGGAAAGAGTGCTCTGTCCTCTCGCGAGCACAAATATGACAGCGTTTCACATCGTCGCTCTCTCATCTTGCCAGGTTTTCACGCACGGCTTGAAAATTAGAGGATTTTTTTTGTAGTGTATGTTTGTTGCTTATTAAGAGTGAATCGACAGGTAAATGTGGCTTATGTTATGGTTACTATTGGAGGCTACTATATAGTAAATGTAACAAATGTTGCTGTTTTGTAGTAAATGCGCATTTATTTGGCACTGTAATCTGTTCGACTGCAGCACGTTTTTCCCTATACTGTTTTCCTACGTAGACAATCTAAATGTACACATCGTTTGTTGTATTTATAGTTCTATATTTAAAACGGGTTTTTTTTCTTGGGGGATAGGCAACATTTACTTTCTTTGTATAGCCTACTATTGTATGTGACAAAATAAAACTTTTAACCTACTTTTTTTTTTCTTGCCGAGAATTTACCATCATTAATCGTAACTTTTGCACTGCTTATAATTTAAACAAACCACTTGAATCAGAGCCAGTTTAAACATTTAGCTATAAATAAAGTTATGTGATGGATTTTACGATTTATCTATATTGCAATGGGGTCTATGAAATAGATTTTTATTATTTTTCATTTATTTTATTTTTTTTGTACAAGCCTTGAATACTGAATAAATTTCACCGCAGACTCGGTTAAATTGCTTATAAGAAGAAACACAACGGGAAATCGCTGTAAAATCAAGTGCGCGCTCTGTTTTAATAGAGGGGACACATGCGTGCGAGTTTCCCTCGTGGACTGGGAGAATCACAACTGTTCCCCTTTGAGAGCGTGCGCAATGACATCTTGACCTTAACAGCGTGCCGTGTTGTGGCCGCCGCCAGTAGACACCCATATTTTAAGTTTAATTATGAACATTCCCACGGTAGCTCGGGGCCATATGGGAGCCCTAAATCTCGGTCTAAACGTGGCGAACGGGGGCGTATCTAATCGCAATTAGTGATTGTCATGTCCTCCTTTAAACGGTGTTCTCAGTGCACTGAAAAGAAATTAGGATTTTTGACAGGTGAATGACTGCACATTCAAATGTGTGTTTTTCAGGACCTCATGTGCCAGACTGAGAAAAACAGTGTCACAGTAAGATCCATATCTCTGTGGGCATCACCAGCGAACTCTAGGCCATGAGTGATTAAATCAAAATGATTCCGAGTCTAATGGCTTTTAGATATATGATATATTAAGAGGATCATGCATATGATTGTGAACAAAGCTGATTTGACGACTTCTGTCCCATCTCTTTTTCTTTCTCTTTTCCCACTTTCTCTATCTGTGTGTTTATGTGTGTGTGTGTCTCTGTGTGTGTCTTAGGGGTGGGGTGGGGTGGTCTGCTCGTAGTAATCTGCTTAACTCGCCCTAATCCTGTCATTCATAGATAGTCTTTACACAAACATAACCAACATCATGGTTGCCCCGGCTGCTTGCTTTCACTTTTTGTGCTTGTGACTCTCCTCTCAATAACAGTCAATGAAAATCTCTGACAAAGAACCATCTGATTGTGTATCTAGTTGTTGGCTTGACAGAATCAGTATGCAACTGCTTACTTAGCCCTTAAAGTAGAGAGGGACAGCAACACCATCTCTTATACTTAAGCACTGCTGTAACAGCATGTTGGAGTTGTTGCAAAAGACTTTTTCTGTGATGGCACTTTGTTCTGAGATGAACACATGTATGAGGCAGAATCAAACCAGAAAAAAGATGCAGGTTGCTGATAACCAGAGGACTAAAAATAGTTAAGCGCTTCTGTTCCTGACTTAAATACAGAGAAAGAAATGACTACAAGAATGTATCAAATGAGGATAGGAAATTAAATATTTTAGCTTTTTTTTTTTATTATGAATTAATCTATTTAAAAACAAACAGAACATTTTTAGCAGAAATACATTGATATTAATTATAAAAACACCTGAGTAACCTTTCAGTCAATTAGCAATTACAATATGTTTCCTTTCTAACCCTTGATTCATTGAGGCAAATTTTGTGAAACTGTAAATTAATTTATTAAAAACTGAAAATAAATGACTAATAATTACCCATCACTATAAGCCCACTATGAAAAAAAAACTGTTTCATTTAAGAATTATAGTTGCGGTTTATGTCTCATAGATCATTGTTAAGAGTGCCGTCCTTACAAAACGCTATCTTAAACCATGCATGTCCATCTATATGTGTATGGTGCATTGAATATTTCTTTCTGATGGAAATATTACTGTTAAGTGATTATATGTTTATATGTATGTGGGCATTTATTACGCTTGTGCATTTTTAATTCTATTTTTTCACTTTCCTAATTTTGTATATAAAACAATTCAATGTTTGCATTGTACCTTGAGATGTCTCTGTTTTTTTTGGGGTTTTTTTGTAATTCAAGTTTTTATTGTTTTCATCCGGTATACATGACAATATCATACAAAACACAGATTGCAGATTTATACAAATACTGCATGTAAGGCCAGAATATATACAGTATCTATGTTTTTTTTAACTACTACTAATAATAATAAAGAAATATTACTGTTAAACTGTTTTGTATTTATATCTAGAATTCTTTTATTTTTAGACTGTGTTTGAATACTCAAAAGAAATTAGTTCTTATTCAAGAGAGGATAATGTTTTTTAGTAATATTTAGTTTTATATATGATATGCCATTCAAATTGTTGCCTATTGACATGATTCTTTATTTTTTACCCTTTTTGATTGTAGCTAACAATCGGATACCCATTAACTTGTCTACTTGTCATTAACTTCTCTAAATTTATTTCCCATAGCAAGTATAATGTAATATTTTTTTTTCCTTTTACGCTGCCTGCATATCCAAAATGATAATAATAGTAGTAAAGGCCGAACACAACCTCACCCTGTCTAACTGGCAGGTCGATGGATGCTTTCTGACAAATCTATTTGGGGCAAATTGTCAGTGAGAAACTTCCGCCTGAGCTGGCCCGGACAAAACTGGCTGTTGGACGGACTAAATCCTACTGCAGGAGGGTCGGGACAATAGGCTCTGAATGTGTTGATGTGCTGGCAGTGGCTTGGGCCTGACAATGGTCGGATTAATTGGTCCCTTGGCTGACTGATTTGAGATGGCTTCACTCGGGTCCTCTCCATGGGGAGCCCCATTGTCGTTCTCCTGATTCCCACTTTTCACAAACTCCAAACAAAAGTCAATTTCTTTCTCAAGGGGGTTTGGGAGAAGAGGAGAAATATCGAGACCTCGTGGTTCGGCTTCGCGAGAGGTGACTTTAAAAGGAGAGCTCCTTTCTCCCCTCATCGTCTAAGTTTTTAAATGGATGACTTAACTCATTCCGTTTCCCTTTCTGCCTGCCCTCCCTCTCTTTAAGGCCCAGAGCTCCTCCTGAGACTTAGAGGTGTTATCATCAGCGGGACAGGAGAGAGGTTGTCGTCCTGTATGCGGAGAGGATCCGAGGCACCTGTTGAGAGTGCTGGCAGGCCGAGCCGAGTAGCTCGCTCTCATTAATATTAAAACATCAGAGATGCCATCATGTTGCTGCGCTGAAATCGGTCTGATGTTGCCCCCCCACCTGACCCGGCTCCCTGGGGGCCAACTCTCCGCTTCCACAGTCGATCATGAAGGGCACCCCCTCTACCCTCTCTCACTGCCTGTCTCTTTTTTCTGTCCTCTCATTATCATTCTGCCTTTTTGAAAGGCCTCGTTAACAAATTATGACAGCTGGCTAAAGAGACTTTAGCCGTTCACACCATTTCAGCAAACAGTTTAGGGGCACAAAATGACAACGTTTATTGTGCTGTGACATCAACTTTCTTCTATTTGTTTGCACACTCTTATTTGTCTCTTCAGGTGACAATGGCGTATTTCAGAAATAATTTGCCTGCCATAGCCCATCACATCATTTAATGGCTTTAATGTGATATATTGTATGATTTCTTTTATATTTTTGACTTGTGATTTTAGTTATCATATTTGCAGTAACACTGAAAGGACTGGATCATTTTTGACTATAGTTATGCTTGTATGTTCTGTGTCCTGAATTAATTTTAATAAAAGAATTTCATAATAGATAAAATTTTATAATAAATAATCATATATTAATCATATATTAAATAACATATATTTTTAAATGGTTAAAATAATATTTATAGTATGTAGTAATTTGTTTAACATTAATCTTGGTCAAGTCACCTTTATTTCTGTAGTGCTTTATACAATACATATTGTCAAAGAAGCCTGGTAACACTTTACAATAAGGTCCCATTAGTTAATGTTAGTTAATGCATTAACTAATGCAACTAAATCAGCAATACATTTGTTATATAGTAACTATTAATATTTAACATTAAATAAAAATACAACAGTTTATTTTTAGTTCCGCTCCATTAGATAATATGAACAAATACAACTTTTGATTTTAATTAAGTTTTAAAAATTATTATTGTTAGATTATGTTAACCAATGCTAACAAATGAAACCTTATTGTAAA